ATTTATATTTTGTCTCGTTCATCCTTCATTTGCATCTTTGTTCTTGTCAGTAATTTGTCCTTATTCTCTGCTGTACATGTCATTTACAGTACAGTTACTTTCCAAGAGACAACTATTAACATAAACTAGGGTAAGAGGGTTAAAAAAGGAATTTGAGTAAAATAAATGTAAATTTACCAGCCCTTCTGGCTGTGATCTTGGAGCCATGCCGCAGTAAACGAATGCACACTTCCTTGTTGCAGTGGTTAACCATCCGCAAATGAATGCTTCTCTTGGTTTGGATTTTTACAAGACATTTCACCATTTTGACTATTAATTCCTCTTCTCAAAGTCTTGTAAAAGCTCTAGCCATACCAGCTTTGACCTTTTACTAAGTTCCTACTGAGTTTAAAGAGACTAACACAAGTCGTTCTCAATGAATCAAATGACAAGCTTCTAACATGGCCAACAAAAATATCCCAGCAGGGAACAGAACCAGAGGTTATTTTTAAACATTTCCAAATGCCTCATAATGTACAATACAAACTTTCACAGTACACATCTCAGTTAGCAGTTGCTAGCATAACAGCTGAACCACACACAGAGGCATAAAAATATCTAAGGCACCAAAACATAGTGCAGTTAAAAAAGAGGCCAGCATTCATAGTCCCATTATTTTTCTAAAATGTTTTAATATGCCAGTAATATCAGTTCCCATCACCGCCTGGAAATTATTTGTGAAACATGTAGATACAATGGAAAAATCCTATCCTGTGCTTACAAACCTTAGTCACAAAGCAAACCAGTGAGACAAAAACACATTAATTTCTAGCCTAGAATGAAAATTGTCCATCCCATGTAAAAACAAGGGCATAAAATTTCTAAGTCTGGAAAAAAAAATTCTCTCTTTACATATGAGCTTCAGCTCCTGCTTGAGGACAATTGTTGGACAGACTCTTATCCACCAGAAAGAAGTGTTGTTTCAGGAGGCTGGGCACTTCCCTGCTCCTGTCCAGCAGAGATATACAAGTTCCCAAAAAAAGCACGATGCAGCTATGTTGGCTGTTGATAACTTGCTCCAGCTGGGAGCTGGAAGGCATAACATCACACTATCCTAGTTGGAAAGAAACTCTTCTCACCAAAGCCAGAGGGAAGAAATAAACTGGGAAGAGTACACTGGTGGGGATGTAGTCTGTCACTTCCCAGAATACTCATCTGTAATGTTTATGACATGTTGTGTTGAATCTTCATTACCTGATGTCCTTGTTCTCTTTGTACCAAAAAAATTCAGTGATGCACGCAAATATGTGGGAGAGAGGAGTAGAAGAGGGAGTCCTGCAAATACTTATTTTACACACAAATATTTCTCTCATAAAGGACATCTGCTTCAATTAAGCTTTTGGAAAGCATCTTTATGGTGGCTCCCGCACAGCCTGTATAGTACAAATATCCAGCAGAGGTCCTGTTTACTCCTTCCTCTGCCAGAGCAAAGATTTTTTTCTTCCTTTCCTTCTCTGCAAGCACTTTCTTGTGGGTGTGAGGAAAGATCAAGTATCCCTTCACTTCCTATCTCTATTTTGTCACCTCTTCAAAAGTAAGACTCTGTCTTCTTTTCTCGTTTTTTATTCTCATAACTGTTGTAGCAACCAAAACAGGGTCATTAAATTCTAACTAAAAGGGGTTGTCCCTTCATTGTGTACATGGCTACAAAAACTGGAAAGCATTAATTCTTACAAAAATCTAACCACTGGTGTATTCAATACATAAAGGAAGGCCTCAAGTGTCAGCCAGACATGGTCATGAAAGACTTCCAACATTTGAAACATTTCCAAATGCTTTGTAACACACATTGCAAACTTCCACAGCATCCATCTCAGCTAGCAGTTGCTAGCATAACAGCTGAATCACACAGAAGCATAAAAATATCCAAGGCGTCAAATCCTAGTACAAGAGGAAAAAAGGCCAGTGTGTTCCTGCATACTGATGTTGAGAAGTAAAATCTATAATTTATGTTTCATGTGACCATGCTTATGCAAAAGAGAAATGACCGTGTTAATTTCAAATCGCTCCCCATAGTTTTTTTTACACATAACTAAGGGAGAAATCTTAAAATCTTACAACTGACTCAGAAAGACTCTGACTCCTGGTCTATACTAACTCTCAGCAAGAGACTACATAAAAAAGATTAATATAGTTGTACCTACAAGAGCTCCATATGCCTCTCCTCTACAACCAAATCTTACACTGCTGAGTATCCTCATAGACAATTAGACTGATGGTAGCAGGTGTGTGCTCATTTCTGTGCATAGAATCATTAAGGTTGAAAAGTCAAGTCTGTTAACCCAGCACTGCTGTGTTCACCACTAAACCACGTCCCCAGGCACCACACCCACACACCTTCTGAATGCTTCCAAGGAAGTTGATTCAGTCATGCCCCTGGACAGTTTGTTCCAATGTCTGACCATCCTTTTGGTAAGGAAATTTTTCTTATATCCAAACTAGACCCTCTCAGGTGCAACATGAGGCCACTTTCTCTTACTATCTTGGAGAAAAGAACAATCCCCACCTGGCTACACACTCCTTTCAGGGAGGTGTAGAGAGTGATAAAGTTCAGTCCAAGCCTCAAACAACCCCAGATCCCTCAAAGGTTCCTCATAGGATTTGTGCTCCTTTCCCTTCGTTCACACTAGTGTCCTTCTCTGGACATTCTCCAGCCCCTAAATGTCTCTCTTGCAGTGAGTGGCCCAGAACTGAATCCAGGATTTGAGATGCAGCCTCACCAGCATTGAGTATAGCTCAATTTTTCTCCATGTGTCGTTGAACACATTACGTTTTTTGGCTGCCTTCTTTCACTGTCTGATTTTGACGAACTAGATTACTGCCTGTCCTGATCACTTGGCAACTGTTTTGCAGGTGGTGGTCAGTCCACTGTCTGTGATTTTCTAGTACGTGATGATATCACAGCTTCACTTACTTGAGTAGACTATTTTTTTTTAAAAAAAAGACAAAACCATACCTTTCCAGTCACAGGATATTAATGTGGTTTTGACAAAGTGATGAAAGCTTCTTTTCAGTCACTTGATACCTCTGTGCTGAGATTTCATGCATGAATTATTGATCTGATAACATTGACTTTTGCCTTTGGAACAACAAAAATGAAAGTATTCTTCACTGGGCTGAGACATATACAGAGATATACGGAGTTTCATGTCTGTAGCACACTAAAAGCAATTTTCCAAGGCAGTGGTGTCAGTCTCAGGGCTGGATGCCGCTCCTCTCCCCACCTCCTCCTCATGCCCTTACCCCAACACAAGAACTTGGTTGACCCTCTTGATGTGCCACTCAAAGGTTGAGTGAGGCAATAACAGGATAATGCACAGTTAAGGGGTTTTTGTTTGGGTTTGGTTTTTTTTGTTTTAATTTGGTTTGCTGTCGTTATCTGGCTTGGTTTGGTTTTCTTGTTGTTTAGAATTTATTTACTATTTGTTTTGCTTCTAACTCTTTCTCCCAGTTACCAATCACTAGTATGATTAGTGCTGGTGCAAGGGAGAAGGTGGGGATCCACAGAAGTGGACGATGGGAAGAGAGCCAGCATCACAGTTGGAGAACCGTGAGATCAGTTCAAGCTGCAATTTGATAATATAGACAAGTTTTCTGCAGGAAAAGACTGTAAAAATCTAAATACTGTTAGCTTAGCAGCTGGTGATACTTAACAACATATAAAGTATGTAGTTAAATACCACCAGCAAACATGTTTATTAGCTCATCAAAGTAACAACAATCTGTCTAACATAAAGGAAAGGTAATTTTCAAACTTATGTAACGCAAACATTTAAAACAAGCACTGTATGGTGAGCATACACCAGTAAGTCACCAGTTTCCAAAAATGGATTTCATTGCCTAGAGTTGTAAGTGTGTTTAAAGCAAGGACATGTGGTTATATCCAGCTGTTGTTACTCTACAGTGGGGGCAAGTGCCCAGAGGAAACACAGCGGTGGCACTTGGCTGCTAGAAGGCAAATTCTCAGATACATGTATTTCACAGCAGAGGTAAACAAGTAGCTGTTAAAACTAACAGCTGCTACTACTAATTATAATAAGGTATGCAGACAGACAATGCAATTCACCTTGTACTTGCTACATTCAGTGTCCAAACTCCAAAGAATGAACAAAACATGTTCATACAACTCCTATATAATAAAATTAGGACATACTTCCATGAAAAGGAAGATACTCAGCTATTTTCTGTTTCCCATTGACCAAAACAAAGCAACAGCAAAGATCTTATTTCCCAACCTCTGAGACAATTATCTCACTACATCTCAAGCAAGAACCAGCATCAGATTTTGTTTGGTTGGCTTCATTTTTATTAGAACAAAAACAATTATCCTCATTTAAGCTGGCAATGATGTTCATGTCATTGTTTGTAGTGACCGTATCTCAAAAAGAAAGGTGTTCCATGTGATATTTAAAATATCAAGAAATAAACAAACACATGGAAAACACTACAGAATAAATTCAAACTGATATTCCAATAACATACCTTTTTGACAAAGACAAATTAACAGAAGATCTTTCCCAACTGATTTTCAAAGAATATCTTTTTTTTTTTGTCAAGGAAATGAAGTTAGCAGACTAAAGCAGAAAGGAAATACAAAATTAAGGGAATTGAGAAAAAAAAAAATATCCACAAGTAAACTGCCAGTTTTCACTCCTGAGTGTCTGCTGACACTAGTTAGAAAAAGGTGCCATCTTGAGACTATTTATTTCCTAAGATCCTTTTTCCTGAAAATTTAAAAGAGTTTTTGACACAGAAATCAAATTGCATTAACTTTCCAGACAATGTATCTTGCAGAAGGCTTATGCAGTTTCTTGAGAGGGATCATTTCTGGGTATGACATACAGAGGTTTAATTATGTATTCCCAATGAAAATTATTAATTTTTTTCCATATCACTGAGTCAGTATCATATCTTTTTCCATATGCTTTGTAATAAGTATTGGCAGGAATTGGGTGACTCACCTTCATCTAAAGGAACCTCTTCCTCCTCACAGGGAGAAGGAAGGAGGGGCTGCAGAGGTTCCATGTTGATTATGAGTTGCTTGTTCAAGGAGGGAGAGCTGCGACTCTGGGTAATGCTGGTTCTAAAAGAATGGGGAAAACAGGGTCAGTTTGCTTACTGGAAATAGTTGTAGTGCAGTAAGTCTCATCTCAGAATCATTTTGCATAAATTACTAGGCCTTGAGCTGCTATAAAAAGCTCTACACATTGAACGCTGCTTTCAGCTGTGTAATGCTGCACCCTCTGCAGATGTAAAGATTTCAGCATCTGAAGTGTGAGAGGTATTATGCTGATTTGCCTCCTTTACACTGCCTGACTTCCTTTCGTCTTGGGCAGGATTTCAGTGTGTTGCTCCCCTCCATAGCACGCAGCAAACATTAGTATTCAGATTCAAGGAAGGGGAAAGTTGTTCCATTGCCTCCAGAACTGGATAAAGGATTTGTTACAGTTTGAGCACTGAGGATCAAAGACTAAAGCAGGAACAACTGTATCCCTTGACAGATACAGAGTGCTCTCACTCATGCCCACACACCTCAGATGCTGCCTCTACACCATGCCTCCCAGCACTCAGGCTGGTTTTCTTTCTTGTCTTACTTCACCCTAAGAGGCTTTCCTGGTAGCAGGTGTTGAATATACTCCAGAAAGTTTTAGGAATGCTGCTGATTTTCTTCAGTCATGATGGTTATTACCCTAAAAATATATTACTGAGAACATAAAATGGTTCTTTTGAATATGCTATCTAGGATTTACACAATACAGGCCTGAAGCAAGAGTCCTGCAGTAAATCTTAACCATTATATTATAAAATATTTACTTTGACAAAAGCAAAGATGAAGTGGAAGAGTATTCTACTTGACTTCAAATGGTATATTGATACAGTCCTGAAGTTTCACAAAATGCATTTCAAGTCTGCATAAAAGGCTTAACTTAAAATTCAACATAAACAGATTGAACAAAAAACCTATTCCAAGTCAGAAGATGGATCTGTGTTGCTGAAGGTTTAGGTAAACTTGGGACACAGGTGTCCAATTCTTAACCCACACTACCTGTCAGTAGTCACTACCTGTCAGTCTGTGGAAATAAACAAGCTTTCTTGCTCAACTGACATGATTTTTTGTGCCATAACACATGCCCAAAAAATTCATATCCTCACTACATTCTCTGAATACTCTCTGATAGCTATTTAGTCAAAGTTTTCACTGTCCACAGAAGGTTTTCACTCAGATTATTAAAGTCATTCCAACCCAAAGGTAAACCCATAGGCTTTTTATGCAGTCCCTGAACCTTTGTACTTGTTGTAAAAAGCTCTCAAGCAACTCCCAAAATAGGAGTTGCTTGAGAGCACCCACAGGCTTCTGCTCCATACTTATTTACAAAGATGCCTCATTCAAGCATGCCCTGGAAGCAAAACATTAAATCATTAATTTTGTGTTTGTCAGAAGAACTTGCCACTGCATTAATCCTGCATGACTGCACACTCCAATAGATTTTCAGTACACAGTGCTTTAAGTGTAATATCCAAACACAAAGATACTGAGTGGTACCCTCCTCTCAGCTGCATGTTTCTTTCTTACACTGGTACAACTGAATTTACTTTGAGGGTGAGGACATGGGGAGGAAAAACTTTATACAGATATATAGATATACATTGACCTTCAATTAAATATATTTTTCCTGAATGTTCTGCTTCTGAAAAGCCATCATGCCCTATCCCCAAATCCTCTTTCACAGAGGAACTTTTTTTTAAAAAATGCCTTTGTTTTTTGAGCTGAAAATTTTCTATCCTTTTTGCTTGCTTGAGCTTTTAGAAGGATCAGCTAGCTACCTCTGTCTCCCATTTCACAACCTGAGTTATAAAAGCACCTGATATCATTGTATTTCTTAGTTTTTCTAAGAAACTGAACTTGGAGCTTCCATAATATTACAAACGCAAACTTTGTAAGAAGGTTAATGATGAAAGATATGCATTGCTATTTGATGGGTATTAAATCCATATGATGCTGCTTTATAAACTTATTTGCTCTCTGATCTGTTTCTTTATGTACACCAAGTTCTAAACAGTATGTTTAAAATACTTCTAAATGTAGAAATCAAAGAAAAGCAAAATGCGGGATAAAAAAAAAAAATTTATGAAAATCTTTTCTTATCCTGGAAAAAAGAAACCTCTTGGAAAGTAGGCAAAGTAAGCTATTTCCGAAAGTGAACAACTATTCTCATTTAAAATACATTTGTGTGCCCAAATATTTTATACTGTCTCAATGATGCATCTCTATTTTGCCTTCTGTGTTATCATTTAATACATTCTACACCTTCACTTACCCCATTTTAAAATGTAATCTAGAAAAATATGTTTGAAACATGCCTGCATGGCCTAACTATTAATTACAAACTAGAGCTGGTTGACATATTATAAATATTTACTGCAAATATATTCCCATCTTTTAGTAAAGACAATCCACTTTTAACTCAAATACAGATAAAATAGCAATATTCAATTAAAAATAAACAAAGAAAAAAAAAATCTCCCCAAACATGAAATCTCAACAAAAATATGAATATGGCTGTAGAATGTTCAGACTTTTAAGTAACCTGATTTTTAAAAAGGCTTCAAATAGTTTTCCCTGATGGCCTCTTTCTTTTCTGAAGTGCTTTAATCAGGTTTTTAGGAATTTTTACTGTCAATACAATGAGTGATAAGGACCTGAAAACATTAGTTTGCTTGCAAAGTCAAGCAGCTTATTTCTTACAAGCCAAATTTTCCTCTTTACTGAAAGAGGAAAAAAGATCTCTAATATTTTCTCCTCTTTACTGAAAGAACTTCATGCTTTTTTAATCTGAATGCATTATGGAAAAACTATGAAGTATACTTTTAAAAAAGAACCATAAGCATATACAAACCAAGAACTTTCAAAAACAAACAAAATCTAGGAGTGAAATTAGAACGTACTTTTCTGTCAGGATCATGTAATAACAGTTTATGCCACAACACAAAAAACAATATAAATTATCAATCTGACTGATTAGTTAAACTCAGCTTGAAAGCAGCACAGATTAGGTTCTCCTTTACAGGAGACATTGGTCAGAATTTTGTATCATTGTCAGATGTATTTTCCTAAGGTTTGCATGCATAATTGTGGAAGCTCAGAATTACAGCCATTGTGCCTGATAATATTTATTTAGAGAATAATAATCCTCCCTAGTCCTTAAACCTTAATACTGAATGTCATACCTGTGAACTTCAGGAGGTTCCCTCTGGATTTTAGAGCTTGCCTCCACAACCTCTTTGGCTACTTTTCCACTGCATTAAAAGATGAAATGAATATTCAAGTAAATACTAAGATACATGCCAAGAACTACATAAATATGAGCAATTAATTTACATTAAAAAAGAATAAAATAAAAAAGGGAAAAAATGCAATAGAGTGCATATATAATGTCCCAGAATAAAATTGTGCTGACTCCCTGCCCACAAAGCTACCAAACAAAAAGCAACTTTTTGTAGTAGAACACCATGAGTGGAACAGGACTGTATCTCACACCTGATTCAGAGCTGCCCAGCTGCAAGAGGCATAAAATCTCTGCACTGGCCACACATCCTTATTTTCACAGAAGATGAACCAAAAGTGGAGCTGTCTGATAGTAGAAGTACTCTTTACAAAAGCATCTGTGCAAAAACTCCTGCTTATTTTTTAAGTCACACTAGAAAAGGCAACAGAAAGACTTTCAGATCTTGAAGTCAGCTAGGCATGAACAGACCCTCCAGCAGGAAAAGCCCTGAATTTGCCATGAGTAATTACTGGCATTTTCTTACTTCCTGAAATTATTTACCATGAATAAGAAACAGCAAACACCTACCTATATCGAAATCTACTGCCTTTAAAAAATATCTTGCTGCTGGACATTGTCTTGATCTGACTGGACTTTGCATACCTTGAAGAAAAATAAGAGGCTGTCACCTTTTCAAGGACATAAAATGAACAAGAATAAGCATAAATGAACAAGACAAACTACGAGCTTTGTTATTTTTATACCATAAAGTAATATTCCAAAAATAAGCTTTTCAACTTTTTTAAGGCATTTATTCTAACTAGACTATGAAGCACACAGAAAATCATTGAGACAGCATAGAACAACTGAACATGGAACAACTGATTATCATGAGAACAAGAAAATGAAATGCAGATGCTTGCCATGTCTCTGAATTTTTATTCTGAGGATGAAGGAAAGACCATGGTATACCAAAAGCCTCTGAGACATATGTCCTAACACCACCTTGTTTGTGGGAGAATATGGCTATTTCTGCTTTTCCACTGGGAAAACAAAGAAATAATAAAGACAACAACTTGTCTCCCAAAGTAGATGCTTTTCCAATATCTCTATTCAGTCAACTTCTTAGTAGCCTACATCATATCCTACTGCTTCTCTGTAATCACCAAGTACACAGCAACCTTTTATCACAGTCTAACACACAGGAGTACCTCACTGCCATTTCTTTGATGTTCTCTTGAAAAATGGCAAATTGATTTTGTACTGTCTCATTCCCAGACCCTAGTAAACAACTTCCTATGATTAATATCTACTTGAATAATTGCAACAGTGACCTCTGAACCTGGGCCAAGACAGGACTAAAGCTCTGTTTTTCAAAACATGTCATGTGATTACGGCTTTACCTTAATCCAAATCTCAAACCCTTCTAGGAAGAGGAGAGGACTGAATTTAATTAAGGCGAAGTGTAATTGCTGTGAATTATTTACACAATCACTATGTCTGCTTTAATCTTATTAGAATATCCTGTTGCCATTATACAGAACTTAAACAAATGGGATTTATCTAATGCTGCTAAGAAACAGTCCCCACTGTACAACTATTTCTCTGAAATGTGTAGAGACATTTCCTGTTTTGAAACTACTATCTTAAGGCTTTACTTATAGATAGTTTTGGCTTCAGTTTCATGTTTGAAGAATGATTGTTTTTCTTCTGCACTCTGCATATCAAACATTACAATTTTCCAATCTAATGTTCACATCCCTATCCATTGAGTAACATTACCAATCTTCGTTTCATTAAAGTCCTCTTGAAAGACCCACCAAAATTGAAAGGTGGGCATAACTTCAAGAAATAATTGTTAAGGAATAATTCTACTCCATAAAGTAATTTGGAAAGTAGAAAAATAGATCAGGGAAACAGCATTGAACACACTAAGGTCAGAGAATAATGAAGGGGAGGAGGTGCTACCCTGGTAGCAGATTCTACCCTGAAGTGGATGGAGAAAATTGTGTGAAGGAGGCTGTCCTGCTGCAGCAAATACACAGCAGATATCCTCGCTTCAGCCCATGGAAGGCCCTGTAGCAGACCAACATGCTCTGAAGGAAGCTGCAGCCCATGGAGAGCTCACACGTGAGCTGGCTCCAGGCAGGCATTGTGGCCCATGGAGAAGAACACAAGATTCAGCAAGTATATCCTCAAGGACTGCAAGCCCATGGGAAGGACCCATGCTTGAGGAGTTCATGAAAGAGATTGGAGTAGTGGAAGAGAGTAAGAAGGAAGGAGCAGCAGAGAGGAACTGCAATCCCCATTCCCCATCTCCCTGAGCTGCTCAGGGCAAGGAGGACATAGAGGAGTCAGAAATGAAGGAGTAAAGTTGATCCTGGAATGAAACAAGGGAAGGGTTGTTTTAATTTTGTCTCTGTTGACAATTTGAAAAAGAGTGAAAAGGTTAAAAAGAAATTAAATTAAACTTCTCCAAGTCATGTATGTTTTGCCTGTGACAGTAGTTTGTAAGCAATCCCTTTGTTTTTATTGTAAGCTATAAGCTATTTTATCATACTTTTTCCTCTTGACCTGTTAAGCAGAGGGAGTGAAAGAGCAGCTGGTAGGCATCGACATCTAGCGAAGATCAAATCCCCTGAATCAAGTATTTGTGACCAAAACCCAAATAGTTAATATTACAGCCATTTAACAAGAGCAGAGAGGTGATATTTCTGTGAGTCTGCCTGAGACATTTTTACACTGAACTAATTTCTACTCAAAGAAATTTATTTATCTCCTTTAGGTGGAAATCATCTCCTATTCCCTATTTATTTCTTGTAACATAACAAAAAACTACTCAAACACCATGCAGTATTTTCCTACTTAAGTCCACTTCCAACAGAAAATGCTTCTGAATAAACTTGAAATTAGTCTTTATTTATAGACTATATTTGGGTTTGATATAGTCTCAAGCACAGTAGATGTTGACATTGAGTATTAACAAATGCATCGTGTCAGCTCCTACTTCCTTTTCTTTTTTCTATCCAATTGAATATATCAGTTGGATAGACTACATATTATTGTATCACTGTTAAAGCTAAAAAGACTCTCTCCAAATTAAAGCAGATCATTAACATCCAGGTTAGAAGACACATTTTTCGTACTTCATTTTTGTTTACCCTTACATCAGCCCCCTAGTGTGGCTATGTGCCAAAACAGAAACAGTGATATTTATAAAATATGGGAGAGGCTGTAAGGAAACATTAAGTAGCAAGAATAAAAGCTACATGCCTAGAGGGAAGCATCAATAAACAGATCTAACAAAGTCAATGGAGGGCAGAAAGAATGCAGAGGAGTTTTTAGTGAGGAATTATAATTAGCTTCTCTTTCAGAGAATAGGGAGGTAGATACTACCTTTTTTTGTCTCATTATGGGCTCTTTAGGTATAACAAGATCACAGGTATCTTTCAAAATGTATCTAAGAATATTTTCTTTTCTTCCTTAAATCATTATAGAGAACTGTTTATTTTTCAGTCAACTCTTACTAAGCCTTCAATTTCAAGTGGAATAACAATTACCTCCTGGCAGAAGAGCCCAGAGAAACAAGCATAAGAGATTTTTTTTCCTCCATTCTCAAGAATGGAGCACAGCACACATACAGCAGGGCTAAGATTAACAGCTATGTTCCCAGACACAAGTGCAGTAATCTGTCCATCCAATATCTCACTACAGAACAGCAAAAGCATTGTGCTGGAGCCAAAACCCTCCTGTCTCATTTAGATTATAAGTAATTTCTAATACTGGCTTGAAGTGAAATAATATTTCCCATTATTATATTTTCTGTCTGCATCTTGCCTTCTATTAGTTAAATTGAACATTTCACAATGAGCAATTTCCACACACATGTACTTTACTTTTAGTATAGGTAATGACTTTAGGTGTACATACTTGTAAAAAGCCTGGTTCTCCACACCACACTTCCAAAGATGCTTGCAGGCTGCTGGTGTAGAGGTATGGAATGACAGCACAGCCTTCTTCTAAGTGCAAGGAAAAGAAAGCAAATGAAAGCAGTGAAAATGTTGAATTCTCAAAGATTGAAATAGCTGCTCCTAATGGCATCACCTTTAACCAGATACACTGAAGACCAAGTTTTCCTGTGTAAGTGTAAATCTGTGGTTCTGGACACTCACAGACACACAATCCATACATACCTGATATTTAAACTGCCCAGGCAATTTTTTCAGAAACAAAAGGACATGCTTGGAGGGGGCATGGAAGAACATATGTACACGTGGCTTTTAAAACTGTAAAACTGGTAAAAAGCAAAGGATGGAAATCTCTGTGTCTAATATTCTACATCACACTGTTGCTGCACTACTTACCACCCACCTCTCCCTCCTCCCTACCATTCGATATCCTACCATCAAAATCTCCTTGCAACCACCTGAGCAGCCCTGATACCTCTGGCATTATTTCCTTCCTTAATTTTCTTTCCCCACCTCCATTCAAACCCATAACCTTAGACTGTATCACTCTGATCTAGGGAAGGAACCAATTATAACATGCTGCAGGCAAATAGTCTGTAGGATTTCAATGTCAAGAACTCAGTGACAGGACTTCTAATTCCATGAGACAGACTAACCTTTTCAGCTCACCAGAATTTGAGGATGGGATTGTAATTATCCAAAAATACCTCAGATTGACTCAGGTACCAATGCTTACCCGAATTTGCAATCATATACAGACATCTTCTGTACTTTACAGTGAGCAAGTACAGCTTTAGCACTTAAATTAAAGCTTGACTCCAATGGCATCCAAAACCATGAACAATCCACAGTGTGAAAATTAAGTGAGAAATGTCTCAACCCTTTGCAAATTAGACATTTTTTCAAAAATTACTCCCATTCATTCATAGTCTGTTTATTTACAATATTAAATACAATTATTGATTATTTAGAAGTTTGTTTAGTTAAAAAATATATTGTCTTATACAAGCTTATCAAATGCAGAAGTTCTGTAAAAATATTAAACATAACCTCTTTCTGAGCTCCAAACACATAAAATGTCTTCCCTTCAAATTTCAGTTTATAGACATCACACCTAGAAAGAGAAAAAATATTTAGGTATAGGGAAAAAAAGATAGATCTACAAGTAAGAAAACTAACTAGCATGTAAGTTTCCCTGATTACCAAAGTCAAGCAGACTATCAAATGACAAAAGCCCTCAAAAGGCCTTACAGGCTTTAGGACAAAACTATTTAACAGTTTAATTTTTTTAGAGGACATAAGCCCAGAGCATTTATTTTACATCCTTATGTACCTTCAAAGAATTAACTTTGTCTGCTGGAATGTGAAGAGGAAATTAAAGGTAGAAAGAAGCTTATATTTATATTATATTATGGCACACTATGCAATTCCTCTTATGTGTTGAAATCTTACAGTGTCTATTGTAATTAAATTGAGGGAAAGATAATGTTCTTTTCTTTATACTTATTTATCTGAGGCTTCATATCACACGTCTTAATAACTGACTACTTATTACAGAACACAAGAAGAAAATGTTTGACAGCAGTCGTTATAGAGGGGCTTTTTGAGTTGAAAAACCTGTATCAAAATTTAATTTAATCAAGATTGAGTTCTCAATCTACATATGGAATAACAGTGCACCATAAAAAGGCAATGTCATGCCTCTGCTTAATTGTAATGGAAATTTTGTCATTACCAGAGTTAAAATGGAGACACTGTTTTTTCATAAATTTCCCAAAGGGTTTTGCAAGTCAGAGTTGAAACAGGAATAATCTCGGAGGAAGGACAATGCTATACCTGAAACTTTATAACAAGTTTTCCTTTCGCATGAAAAAAACAAAAATCATTGTGAAAGCTTTTACATTGAAAAGAAAATCTCAAATACAAATTTGGGGTTTTACTGTGCAGTGCAAATTTCAGCTAAAATTAGTTACAGCTACTTGCACTTACTTCTAGGCCCCTGAAATGGAAGAAGCAGTACATGCATTCAGATAAAACCCATCAGACTGACCTTTCAGCCTCAACTGTAACACTGAGAGTTTATTGGGTTTTCCTCTGTCACTGCTTTATTTTTTATCTGAATTACATATTAATGCACTTAATAAATATGCCTAGGATACATTATCCTCAAATAACATGAGAAGCTAAATGCTTGCTGTGAGATTAATCTCCCACGGTATGGTGGACACATGATTGCCAAGTGCAACTCTCTCCTCAGTGTGCCATAGACTGACATTACTGTTATATTTTCTTTGTGCCAAAACCACAAACCACTGAAGTACTGTGACCCCTCCTACCTGCAATTAACCCTGGGGAAACTATAGTGTAAATCCAGGATTGCAAATGGATGGCTTTCGATAGGTATGTCCCCAGAGCTCAATAGGGAACTCAATTGTACAAACAGGACTACAATGATTTTACACTTCTGAGGATTTCAGGTTATTCGACACTCAGGGAAATTTCTACAAATATGCAGCAAGGAGCCCAGCTTCGCCTTTTTTTCACTTTCTGCCCTTCTTGATCCCACAAGACAGGCTGAGAGCTCAGAGATGGAACAGGCATACCTAAGAAACTGCTGTTGGCATGAATGTAGCAGCAGGGCTAAAACGAGATTATCAGTGTCTAAGCATGACTGGTCACTTTGCACCACACTGCTGAGGGTGTGGCTAGCTGCTCTTAGCATCATCTGCAGGAGCTCAGTTTTTACCTCTTCCTCAAATGTGGCTGACAAAGGTTAACAAATTAAATTAAGTCCTGGAGTTCAAATAAAAGCAAATAAAAGCAAATAAAAGCAAATAAAAGCAAATAAAAGCAAATAAAAGCAAATAAAAGCAAACCTAGTCAAACCAAGGACAGTAGCATAAGCGCCCATTTCTTAAAAAATAGAGACTAAAAAAATAAAAATTCAAGGGCATTCTCACCTCTACCTCCTCTGCTTATCAAATAAGTTCTTTTATAGTTTTCAAATTGAGGGTAATTAAATGAGAAACTTGCAATATTTCCAAGATTCAAATAAAGATTAAAGTGGACTTTTATAAGTGTCCCAGACCTCTCTGCCAATAAACCTCACTGGTGATTTACAGCATAGCTGAAAAATCAACTTACTCAATTTTAGCATTTGTGAATTATGTTGACTAATGTAGTCTGTGGAATAGATTTCACTGGGAGTTTAATGAGACCAAATTGCTGTTGTTGTTGTTATTGTTGCAGTTGTAGTTGTTGTTATCTAAAATCCTTTAAAACAGAAACATGATGGGGCAGGAGATGTAATATTCACATGGTTCTCCTTAAAGACAACAAATTGAGGCAAAGATGGTAGGAAGAGAAGACACAGGAGATGATATGCTGACACAGGAGATGATATGTTTATTTATCAAAATATTCTTACATCATATGCTTACCATTTTAATAAATGAATTCTTTTATTCCCCTGGAAAACTACAAATCCTGCAGCTGTGAATCCTAAAAATGTAGTTGTCCCAAATGAGTCCTTGAAAGAGAAAAAGAAACATAACAACAAAACCTTCCCCTCATCCAATGAGATATTTCTTACTGGTAACATAAATTGTCACTCCATTCTAAATTACCTTTATTTGTTTTCATCTTCAAAACAAATTATGCCTTCAAAATGTACACTTCTAAAGGAAAGGACTGCTCTTGGCAACAAAGACCTCATTTATTTCTAGGCATTTGAGTAACAATATCTTATGCTTTGTTTCCGTCTACCTGTAGCTGATGACAACAGGAACTCCTTAGGTAGACTTACCAAATTTATTGAAAATGTACTTCTGTGTATGTCCCATTCTTAAAAGGAGGACTAACTACAAGCCAGGGATTCAACACATATTTTTTTAAGAGTTCACAATACATAGTTCCTCTGCAAGGTGTTATATTTGAAATACTGCTGACAGACAGCATTTACTAATATAAGCTTCTCTTTTGTACTCATGTTCTCTTCAGTACAAACCAGAAGAAATATTGGTACCTGCCTTTCAAATAGAAAAGAAAATTTTTAAAATATAACTTCACAATAAAAGTTCTGGCTTATAGTTTTTGATTAATGATTGAGATGAATTTTATATGAACCAGATTTTCTGCCCATCCCAGGTTCCATACCCTCATCTTACTAAAGATAATCAACTTTATTATGCCTTATGTTTTACCAACAAAGTAAAGGGGAACAGAAACAGGGATGGTTCTGGAGTATCAGCCACAGCACTGAAAGAAGCATGCCATAAGGAGCCAGCAAAGAACCTTGCTTTGCAGTTCACTTTCAGAAGACAGACATATTTTCCTTAGGTATGGGTGACGAACCACTGATTGTCCCCCCTGCATTACAAGCCCTGCCACACAGGTAAAGAAGTAATTCTGAGCCAGTTATGGCTCAGTTTCTGGGACGTCTTTTGAAAATCTGTAGTATAGTTTCAAAGGCAAGTTTACTACATCACTAACTTCACTAGGCTCTGAACAATGACCCTGTCTTTCACACAGGAGCACCATTCCTCAAAAAGTACGTACAAAATCTTACGCAGTTTTGTATTAGAGCTGACTGCTTAAGGATGCTCACCACCAGAACAGCTAACTAAACAGCACTGCTGACCCAGCAGAAGAGACAATACACAAGCCAAAGCAAAAGCAGCAGTTAAAACACAAGGCAAGTCACTCTAAAAATAAACACTGCAGATTATGCAAGTACAACCAAGTAATTAAAAATGCACGCATACAAGATAATCAGAACTGGTAATCAAGATCACCTTCTTAGAGAGGACCACAAAATAACAAAGTGGGAATGGGAAGTTGGTTCTCCTGCTTGTACATTTGGCTTGCTGGTCTTCTTAAGCTTTGCATATTTTGATGGTGTTTGAAAAACTGATCTGCCATGGACTATCAATATGTTGCATCTTCTTGTCAAAATAATGATGAATTCTGAAAATCTTGGCAAACAAAAAATATTCATACCTGGAGTAATTAAAAGAAACCTTTGCACTAAATGCGAAGAAATTATGGACTATAATGAGAGTTTATGCCACTACAATCTACTAGATTCTCCTGGGATGTTCTTCTGCTTCCTCTGGGGAGACCTGCTTTTAGACTGATGCAGAAATGTTAACCAGTCAGTGTTCTTTCAAGGCTTAAGCATAATATGTAGTTTCAGGGCAGCTTTTTAAGAAATTGCTCCCTATTTGTGCCTGGATAAAAAAACAGAGCTAAATCAATTCCATTACTGGATTTTAACTAAATGTTACTAAAAAGAACATTTTATTAAAAGTTAGCAAAAAGAACTGTTACCTTGCAAGGATGAGGATCAACACCGTAAGTCTCCAAAGAATTTGCTTTAAGAAGCAAGTTAAATTCAGCAACAGCTGGGCTCTGACCTCTGAAATTACAGAAGAAAAAGCTGTTTGACAGCAACAAAAAATAGGAGAAAAATACTTTTCGACTGGAGAGTTTAAATGCCTAAAGACAGAGGGAGGTAAAGTTTTTACTGACATTCAAACTATTTCAACCATTTTTTTTTGTAATAAAAAGCTAGAAAACTTCTCACATCTTTTCTTCTGCTGAATTGTACAGTTCCTGATGCTTTCAGGTAAATTCTGTTTTATTTTTATGAATCCTGAGATAACAACAAAATTATCTAATATTCTGCAAGTATTTCTTGCCTTTTTGATATATCCTTATGTCAGCCTGAATATGAAATAAACCTCAGCATCTTTTTTCCACAAACTCTTGCTCACCATCTCATTTAAAAGGATTGTGCAGATTAACAAACATTCCTTCCAGTGCAGGGTAGCAATCATATTACACTGCCTACTCAGATGTATGCCTAATTATAGCAGTGCCTGCTACCAACATGATAGCTCAGAATTTGTCAGCATTTCCATTTATACACCCCTATTTTTAGGTTGTCTATAATCAACAGCAAATATACACTAAAGCCTGAAAGATGGCACGAAGACCTGGGGTCTGGAGTAACTTTTATCTGATTTTTGTTAACTACCTACATTACAATAAGCTCTAACACAGATTTACAATGCCTCTCTGTTTCAAGTATTACTTAATTTCTGTATCTGTATGACTAGAGTACATGATTTTGATAGATAATACAATTTTTTGATATTGACCAGTGCCTAGGACCTTTAGAAAGCCAAACCTCATAAATACTTTACATGCAAATTAAAATAAATAAATAATAAATAAATAAATAAATAAACAAACAAACAAACTAATTTTCAAGGAGCATAGCAATAGTCATACTTTATTCTACCCCTTTTTTGTTGTGAGCTCAGCCTTACACTGTGATCAACTGTACGTCGGAATTGACATTTAATATTTCATTGTGTATTGTTGTAACATAATTTCCCTGAAAGCCTGTTATTCCCCACCATGTAGAAACCAACAAGTATTGACATACGATATCCAGTATTTGGTCAAAAGTTCAGTTTAACAATTAAAGCAACATCTAGCATGCCTGTGGACATCAAATCCTATTTTGAAAATGACCTGTGGTAATGTAAGTATCAATAACCATTTCTGCTGCAAAGTTTAAAAATTGCTCATTTTTACTTCACTGTTTATCATTTCCTAGTCAACCCCGCAATATTTCTTGGGCTTCTTCAGTATTTATCTGACACTACATAACCTTCACTTTATTTCAGACCACATTTTTGTGGATGTTTTTCATCTAAATTAAAAAAATAAATATTAGAGAAGAAGTGACCTTCTTTCTCTTTACTGTTTTGGTCTCTTTCTCACCACTTCCAGTGGGGAAGAGCATGTATTAAGGGGAGCATCAAAAAACTACAAATGTATATTTATACAGCTAATATTTAAGGAGAAAGCAGCACAAAAGCAGCATTCAAACAAAAATGCTTACTTTTCCACTCAGATTTTTGGTAGCTCTACTAAGCTTTTACTTCATTTTAAATACTACTAAATCACAACTTTATGTGCCTTTACAACTGTGAGACCATAAATGACTTCTAAAAAGGCAACAAGTTTATTTCATGTACTGCATTTGACAGAAGTAATTGACTAGTTTAGACCTAAATTACTTTAAAATGGTTATGTTGCATAGTGAAAAGCCAAACAAGCAGTTTGAATGCTTATTAGATGTTGGGCCTTACAAAAACAAAGCTTTATAAAATGCATTTTTTTATCCACTTCTGTTTGCTGGTACAAAGGAGAGTCAATCTTCTGGTTGCAATGGACCAAAAAGTGACAAGTAGTTTGCAACAATGTGGTTTGGACAGCTGGTATATTCAAATGAGGGAAAAAAACCTCACCTTGACAATACTATTGAAGAGACATTAAAATAAGCATTATCAGGCTCCTCTCCCCCACACCCTCTGCAATTATGATGGTTTCATGTTCCTCAAGTGAAACAAACTGTGTAATTTTGGGGAAAAAAAAAGCAGAAGACATGGGCAAATTTGATCTTATCCAACTACAGACTAATCAAATGGCTAGAGTGCAAAGCCTTAAAAGAACATCACAAAGCACAAGAGTCAAGGACAATATCAAATGAAAAAAATCCTCATTCATCCCTTATGAAGGGATTAGCATTTAAGCCTTGATAATATGCTTTTCATGTGTAACTTAATAATGAAATTTTTCTTACCAAATAAAAATATAACTGTAACAAATCCTACCAGCAAAGTCAGCGTTTTTTTATCAGTCACTGATCAAACATTAGATATGCCTTTGATTTGCTTTGTTAAAAAGCCCATAAGCCTTCTATATGCAACAAACAGCCTTATACAAGAATTTATATTTATGCAAGTATTTTACAGTTGAAAAACAAGGAATATTTAGCAAACACATATTTGTTTTTTTGGAACCCAGTACTCTCAGGAAACTCAAGTGTCTGAATTTACTGTTCTTGACCTTATTTTTCAGTATGAATTCAGCACTAAGGGAAAGATATGTTCTCTTTCTATATATTGCAGGCAGTACAACACCCACCTGCTGCATGGCAAAGGTACTGAACATGGCCAAAACCAGGAATAACTCCTCAGAAAATTTTATGCATATCATACAAATGCTAAAGGGTGGATTATTTGTGAAATTAGAGCTCCACAACCATTAGCTATGAATTAATGATTCAACCTAAGAGTCAATCAATCAATTAATCCAAAAGTTCCTAATAAAATTTTAATGAAACAAATACTTCAATAGAACACTGAGAAGTATGCAAAACACTCTGTTTTAACTTGAGGCTCATGAGAAGTATGCATCAGAGGATGTAAAAGCTCTCTTTATTCCCCACAGGGTCCCAACTTTGAAGCACTTCAAAGGCAAGGAAGCTCAACAGGGAATAACTTCCAGGGTGTGTCATAGTGATGTTCTACTTGCTTCACTCCCTGCCAAAACCAAATCATTCCAGAAGTTTCTCCCCTTCATACCTTTCCTTTGAAGTATGTATCTGTTACATACTGAAGTCATAAATCTTAGTACAAGTTAAGGATGAAACAGCATGGGACTGAGAATTAACTCCTTTTGACAAAGAAGACAGCAAAGGAAAAACTTTCAATGCTATTCTCATCCTCTTGGTTCCTGAGTGCCATTAGTGAGGTCATTTGATTTGTCTTCTCTGATTCTCTCACTGACTTATAAAGTGCTGTGAGATACTACTTTTAAAAAAATAATAACAATTACAGTCCACCCTTTTGCCTCATCTCTATGTCAAGAAAAGGTACTTGCTGCAGAATACAATAGCAATACTTTACTAGGGTATGTACTATCTATGTTTAACTTCTGGACATTTGCGGTTTCTAAAGGTGTATTAACGTCTTTTAATAAAAGAATAAATAAATACGTACATAATGATCTGGCCTCTAGTGACATTGCATATTCATCTCCATGTGAACCAGGGACATCAGTCGTAATGCCATAAACAACATAGGTTCAGTCTCCATCAACCTCTCTTTGCCCTATCCTGCAATCATGGACATATTTCACTGTGATTGCAGGAGAGACAACAGTAACAACTTCCAAAATTATGTCCTCCTATTAAATATAGGAGTTCTATCTGTTCTATCCCAGAGTTTCTAGAGGCCATCTCCCAGCAGAACTGAGCTACCTGGGGTTCCTTTTAACCTAAAATAATGCTAAAACTCTGCCAAAGAGTCAGCACATTTAGCTGCACTGCACACTGAATACACAACTGCTTACCACACACGTAAGTTTTTGCTGTTGCATCTTTAAATCTCTTTACATGTATCTGAGACTCCAGTTGTTATAAAATTATTGCACTAATGGTCTTGATCAGATCTTACTTTAAGCTCAGAATATTTTGTCAGATAGTGGAGATGTTTTTAAATAAAGTCTTTTTGCTGTATTTTTAGTCACAATAATGGTGCTATGTAGCATTGAAATAAACCTGCTATGATTGCTAATGTTTTAGTTGTAGTGGAAAAAACGACACAGTGGTGGTGATAATTTCAAGGAAAAGAACTAAATTAAGATTCTGGTAAAGGAAATTGCATTGTAGTCTGTGGTTCAGTTTATCAGAATGATAAGGCCAGACTCAGCACATTGCCCAAACAGCAGTGCAGATCCCCAGGAACTGCCCGGCCTGGCACTGGCAGAGGAAAGCCTTTAAAAGGGTCTGTATATGGAAAGAAACATTATCATCTAGGAAGTAAATGAATTGCTGAAAATTGCTGAAACATACTAAAATTAGAAAGCTGCAGAACACTTAAATATCAATTTTAACTTTTGCTGTAAAGTTGTTTTTTCTCTCAGACAGACAGAATCTGAGTAAAACCCAAATAACCACTTTAAAACAATAATCAAACTCTTTTACTGAGTCTATTAAATGCTTTTGGGTTTAATTTTACAGCATGCATGCTGTGATGGTATGTGCAAATTACATAACTCCTTCTACTAGAACATTTCAAATTACGTGTGCGCCTTCAGAGATCAGACTGAGATGGTATCTCTAAAGTCTGTGTTCAGACACTTGTATTTCAGCTTTACTTCAGAAACTGATGCAGTGACACAGACGGCTTTACGTGTATTCAAAGACAGAATACATTTACAGAAGAGATGTAGTTTTAATTTACCTAATATTAATTTAAAATGTATTCCCATGATACAGAGATATCTAGTAATCTTTCTGGTTTTATTATCACAGTAGATTAATATATCTGGTCCAAACACACCTGACCCATAATACCTTCTCCAAACAGAGAAGAGGTGAGAAGGGAGGAGGAGAGCAAAAGAAATATTTCCTTCCAGCTTATGAAGAAATCCTTACATTTTAAAATTTCACACAGGCATTTGAAGATATCAGTGTGTTAAGCATGCAGAACCTGATTCTAAACCTCATCATGAGACAGGCAAAAATAATGATATTTGCAGATCATGATTATGACC